AAAAAATCAATATATACAACAACAACAATAAATAGCAATAGACATAAATAAAACAATAAAACCAATAGTTATCAATGGACATAAAAACAGTCGTGGCAACAATAATAAGCACAAAAATACTATTTGTGCACTGCGGCATGCTAACATGTGTCTCTGTATGCATTTGTGTGTGTTTTTGAGTGGTTGTGTGTATGTGTGTCACATGTGCCAATGAGTACACAAAGGGGAGTCCCAAAAAGCCATGTTTTCTAGTCCTCCTTTTCTCCTTCCAGTACAGACTCACTACTAACTGGTTTCATTCCATCGTATCCTGGAGAGTCAAGATTTAGCAACCCATGGAGAGTGCCGGGAGGGTCCATTGAAGGCCGCCCCCACCCAAATGGGCCGATGGACACTGGCTGCCAATGAGAAGCGCACCCAACATCTCACTCATACTGACTCATGCTGGATGAAACTTCACCAGTGTTCTTGAGCTATCACTGTCAGGGTACTTGGGAGGGACTGACATTGGGGTCAGTCTTTACCAGAAAAAAAAACTGGCCATGGGGAGCCAGGTGAAACTCCTTGCCTGTTGCCCTGTGCAACCAAGGGGTGCTTTGCAGCACCCAACACTCTGCTTTGCAGCAGAGCCCCGCCTTAGGTGCTTTGCAGCACCCATGCTTTGACAGCATTTTTGCACAGTTCTGTAGCTTTGCAGCTACCTGTGCGTTCAAAGTGCTTTGCAGCACCAGCTTGTGCTTTGCAGCACTAAATGCATTGAAGCATTTTGCACATTCTAGCTTTGCAGCTTGTGCATATGGGTGAAGGTCTTGTTCGCGAAGTTCATGACTTGGTGCCTGATTCCTGAACAGATCCTGACAGGGGGAATGAAAATAGTAGAAATCAGTTAGTATTAATTTACTTAGTAGTCAGTCAGTAGGAAATATGGGAAAAAACAAACTACCACTTCCTTTTGAACAAACTACCACTTCACATGAACATTCCTTAAATGTTAATATGTTTTTTCGATCTTAAAGACGGGCCCCAACAAAAAAGCATAAAAAAGCACCCTGCAAGAACAATTAGTTTTTATTATTAGGGGGTGAAACCCTGAAATGGGACCTTCATTTTTAATTTGTTTTCGAGAGGGGATCAATTAAAAATCAAATTGGCCAGTCTGAAATTTCCCAAATTTAACGTGGACCTAGTTTTGCATATTTGGAGTACGTTTAGTAAAAGGAGGTGGAGATTATATGCTTCAAAATGGCTCCGACAGGTACTTTTTTTCACTTTCTTGTGATTGTTGGAGTTAAAGGTGAAAAAAGGAAGCTTAGCACATGTCAAAACATGGCTTGGAAAGCGTTTCTGTTGTTTGGTGATTTATGCTAATCTTATCTAATCTTCACAATTTGCCGTGTATATGCATCAAAATGTCTCCGACGGGTACTTTTTTCACTTTCTTGTGATTGTTGGAATTAAAGGTGAAAAAAGGAAGCTTAGCACATGTCAAAACATGATTTGGAAGGCGTTTCTGTTGTTTGGTGATTTATGCTAATCTTATCTAATCTTCGCAAATTGCCGTGTATATGCATCAAACTGGCTCCGACGGGTACTTTTTTTCACTTTCTTGTGATTGTTGGAGTTAAAGGTGAAAAAAGGAAGCTTAGCACATGTCAAAACATGATTTGGAAGGCGTTTCTGTTGTTTGGTGATTTTTGCTACTCTTATCTAATCTTCATTTGCCATGTATATGCATCAAAATGGCTCCGACGGGTACTTTTTTTTTGTGATTGTTGGAGTTAAAGGTGAAAAAAGGAAGCTTAGCACATGTCAAAACATGGCTTGGAAAGCGTTTCTGTTGTTTGGTGATTTATGCTAATCTTATCTAATCTTCACAAATTTGCCGTGTATATGCATCAAAATGGCTCCGACGGGTACTTTTTTTTAACTTTCTTGTGATTGTTGGAGTTAAAGGTGAAAAAAGGAAGCTTAGCACATGTCAAAACATGGCTTGGAAAGCGTTTCTGTTGTTTGGTGATTTATGCTAATCTTATCTAATCTTCATTTGCCATGTATATGCATCAAAATGGCTCCGACGGGTACTTTTTTTTTTGTGATTGTTGGAGTTAAAGGTGAAAAAAGGAAGCTTAGCACATGTCAAATCATGATTTGGAAGGCGTTTCTGTTGTTTGGTGATTTATGCTAATCTTATCTAATCTTCACAATTTGCCGTGTATATGCATCAAAATGGCTCCGACGGGTACTTTTTTCACTTTCTTGTGATTGTTGGAGTTAAAGGTGAAAAAAGGAAGCTTAGCACATGTCAAAACATGGCTTGGAAAGCGTTTCTGTTGTTTGGTGATTTTTGCTAATCTTATCTAATCTTCACAATTTGCCGTGTATATGCATCAAAATGTCTCCGACGGGTACTTTTTTTCACTTTCTTGTGATTGTTGGAGTTAAAGGTGAAAAATGGAAGCTTAGCACATGTCAAAACATGATTTGGAAGGCGTTTCTGTTGTTTGGTGATTTTTGCTAATCTTATCCAATCTTCACAATTTGCCATGTATATGCATCAAAATGGCTCCGACGGGTACTTTTTTTTTTGTGATTGTTGGAGTTAAAGGTGAAAAAAGGAAGCTTAGCACATGTCAAAACATGGTTTGGAAGGCGTTTCTGTTGTTGGTGATTTATGCTAATCTTATCTAATCTTCACAATTTGCCGTGTATATGCATCAAAATGGCTCCGACGGGTACTTTTTTTCACTTTCTTGTGATTGTTGGAGTTAAAGGTGAAAAAAGGAAGCTTAGCACATGTCAAAACATGGCTTGGAAAGCGTTTCTGTTGTTTGGCTGTTTATGCTAATCTTAGCTAATCTTCACAATTTGCCGTGTATATGCATCAAAATGGCTCCGACGGGTCCTTTTTTCCACTTTCTTGTGATTGTTGGAGTTAAAGGTGAAAAAAGGAAGCTTAGCACATGTCAAAACATGGCTTGGAAAGCGTTTCTGTTGTTTGGTGATTTATGCTAATCTTATCTAATCTTCACAATTTGCCGTGTATATGCATCAAAATGGCTCCGACGGGTACTTTTTTTCACTTTCTTGTGATTGTTGGAGTTAAAGGTGAAAAATGGAAGCTTAGCACATGTCAAAACATGATTTGGAAGGCGTTTCTGTTGTTTGGTGATTTTTGCTAATCTTATCCAATCTTCACAATTTGCCATGTATATGCATCAAAATGGCTCCGACGGGTACTTTTTTTTGTGATTGTTGGAGTTAAAGGTGAAAAAAGGAAGCTTAGCACATGTCAAAACATGGTTTGGAAGGCGTTTCTGTTGTTGGTGATTTATGCTAATCTTATCTAATCTTCACAATTTGCCGTGTATATGCGTCAAAATGGCTCCGACGGGTACGCTTTTCACTTTCTTGTGATTGTTGGAGTTAAAGGTGAAAAAAGGAAGCTTAGCACATGTCAAAACATGGTTTGGAAGGCGTTTCTGTTGTTGGTGATTTATGCTAATCTTATCTAATCTTCACAATTTGCCGTGTATATGCATCAAAATGGCTCCGACGGGTACTTTTTTTTTAACTTTCTTGTGATTGTTGGAGTTAAAGGTGAAAAAAGGAAGCTTAGCACATGTCAAAACATGATTTGGAAGGCGTTTCTGTTGTTTGGTGATTTATGCTAATCCTATCTAATCTTCACAATTTGCCGTCTATATGCATCAATATGGCTCCGACGAGTACGCTTTTCACTTTCTTGTGATTTTTGGAATTAAAGGTGAAAAAAGGAAGCTTAGCACATGACAAAACATTGTTTGGAAGCCGTTTCTGTTGTTTGCTGATTTACGCTACTCTTCACAATTTGCCGTGTATATGCATCACAATGGCTCCGACGGGTACTTTTTTTCACTTTCTTGGGATTGTTGGAGTTAAAGGTGAAAAAAGGAAGCTTAGCACATGTCAAAACATGGCTTGGAAAGCGTTTCTGTTGTTTGGTGATTTATGCTAATCTTATCTAATCTTCACAATTTGCCGTGTATATGCATCCGACGGAAACCGGTTTCACTTTTCTTGTGAGTCTTGGAATTAAAGTTGAAAAAAGGAAGCTTAGAACATGTCAAAACATGGTTTGGAAGGTGTTCCTGTTGTTTGGTTAATATGCGCTAATCTTCCCATTTTGCCATGTATATGCATCAAAATGGCTCCGACGGGTACTTTTTTCATTTTTCGTGTGATTAGAACATTGCAAAACATGTTTTGGAAGGTGTTTTTGTTGTTTGGTGATTTAGGCTAATCTTCACAAAATGCCAGAATTCTTCATGCATGGAAAGATCAAACAGACTTGGAAAAAAGGATGAAAAAGGACGACAAGTGCGAGAAAACAAAATTGGGCCGAATCTTGGAAATCGGGAAAATGGATGAAAAAGTGCCACAACAGCGAGAAAACAAAACTGGTCCCAATCTTAGAACATCGCCGTAATCAAAAAACTATAGCTTAGTTTCTGTGGCGATATTCTAAGATAATATACGTGGCGATACCCTGTCCATCGGATATTGATCCTAATCAATATAGTCATCCATTTTTCTGTTGATATTGAATATTGATTTTGGTATTGATATTTTCAATATTTCCCTTATTGATTTTAAAATCAATATGTTTATCTATTTTGTGTTGATTTTTTTGGGGACCCTTATTGATTTTCATATTGATTTTCATATTGATTTTCATATTGATTTTCCTGTTGATTTTCCTGTTGATTTTTGATGTTTTTTTCCTCTTTTTTCCCCTTTGGCCACCTGCTTTTTTTTGGCATGTGAACTTGAACCCATGTTTATGATGCATGGACATGCACTGATCTTTCCAGCTCAAACTAGTTGTTACTTCTTTGTGGGCCCTTGGCAAAAGGTAGCTGTTTCAGCTACCCTTGGCAAAAGGGGGGAGCAGCCTTGGCAAAAGGTATAGATTCCTTGACCAAAGGATGTCCAAAGGTCCGGCAAGACACTTTGCCAAACCCATGGTGGACCAAGGTGTCTTGTACAAATGCCTGAGCTGCCATGAAGATTTGATACAGGACCTTGGCACCTATGAGCTGGTGTCCAGGAACCAAGCCACTGACCCAGGTGGCTTGATGGAAATCATTGCCTTGTTGGAGTCCTTGGTCAAGGTCTCTGCCACCTTCGAAGTGCATTCAGGTCCACTCAGGACCTGTTTGCTGACCTTGGCCAAGGACAAGCCAAGCTTAAACACTTCAAAATTCAATGGGCAGGTCTGGGCCAACATCAAGACTGAAAGGCTTGTGGTGGTCATGGCTCACTGCAGAAGGCTAAAAAATGATGCTGAGATGAGGAAAGCTGCTGCCAAGCTTAAATCTGTAGACTACCAAAGGCTGCAGAATCTGGTTGACAAAATCAGAGACAAAGATGAGCAGGAAGAGCCTGAAAGAATGAGGGATGACATGTCCCTGGACTCAGAGGGATACCCCAATGAACTGAAAACATCACCAGCCAAAAAAACCTTGACAAAAGGTAAGAGGTCTGCTGAAGAATTGGAAGATGAAGAGCACTTGCCAAAAGTGAACACTTCCTTCTTCAGGAAAAAGATAGGGTCCAGGGCAGCCAAATCCTCCAAGGCCTGGGGCCAAGAAGATGAGGATGAAGGCTTGGCAAAAGCCATTGGCTTGCCAAAGGCCTTGCCAAAAGGACAAGCAAAGAAGAGGCCAGCAGCAACTCTGAAGAAACCCTTGACAAAAGGGACTGCAAAAATGAGGAAACCAGCTGCATCCTGCAGCTCAGGAAAGTCACCTGCAGGGGTGCAGGCAGAAGTGAAGCCCAAAGGCCAAAAGTGGCATAAGTTGAAGGTGACATATGCAAAGAAACCTGAAAGGGCATACATCACTGCACAGTCTGCACCCAAGGAAAAATTCAGGCTCCTGGTGGAGGTATCAAAAAAAAGAACCATCCAGTACCAAAGGGTAATTGAAACCATCCACCAGGAAGCTGAAAAGAAAGGCCTTGACAAGCTGCAGTGCAGGGAGCTCAGAGAAAGCCTCTGCTGAGCAGCATGGCATGCCTTGACAAAAGGCTGAATGCTGTGCACTGGCTGTGCACAATGAAGCAAAGCTCCTTGGCAAAAGGTATAGCTTTCCTTGGCAAAAGGAATGGTTTTTAATGTTCCTTGGCAAAAGGAACTACTTTTCCTTGACAAAAGGATTGTTTAATGCCTACCCAAAAAAGGGTCTGGCTTGGTGCACTGCCCTTCCTCAAGGGTGTCAAAAAGAGCTGGCAGCTTGGGTGGGGGGATGTGTTTAGGTGTTGTACTTGTCTAGGTAATGGAAACAATGTTGGTGTTTTGTTTGTTTTTGTACCACCTGTATCTGTTGGTTGTAGTGGTAGTAGTAGGCTTGCAGCTAAGTAGCTAGTAGGTGTTAGTTGCAGCATCAGCTGCAGTAGGGGTATAGTGTAGTGGTATAGTGTAGTATAGCTGTAGCAAATGCACCCTCAACTATTTATAAGGGGTACTTTGAATTGGGTTCCTGATAGCATTTCTAACCTGATGTGTCCCACCCCAGACTTTTGGCTCAAAAGCTAGAGAGTTTTTTTTTTTTTTCGCGCTTTTTTTTTGGACCAGTGGACCCTTAGGTGGTCTGGAACAACTTGAACCAACTTCTCTTGACAAAAGGGATTGGAACTGACAAAAAAAAACTTTACCTTGCCAAAAGGTGAGCAGCCTGGACCTTGACAAAAGGTTGTCCCAATGCAGTGGGATGATGATGATTGGGAATGGGGGGATGGTGGGTGGAACAACAAGTGGAGGCCAACTGGCAGTGGCACCACCTCCCATGCCAGAAGGGCAAGGATCCAGGCAGCTGCCCAAGAAAGGGACAGGCTAGCTGCCCTGGGGGACAGTGCTGCTTTGGCTGACAAAGCCAAGGAGGAAGCACAGAAAGCTGCTTCTATGAAGAAGCAGGCTGAAGAGGCTGCTGAGCAGGCAGCAAGGACAGCTGCCCAGGCAGCTGAAGCAGCTGCAGCTGCCAGCCAAGCAGCTGGATGGGTGGAAGTTGGGCCATCCAGGAAAAAGCCCAGGAAAGGGCCTCCTTGCCAAAAGGAGAAACCAAACAAAAGGGAACCTCCTTGCCAAAAGGAGCAGCCAAAGAAAAAGGAAACTCCTTGCCAAAAGGAGCAGCAAAAGAAAAAGGAAACTCCTTGCCCAAAGGAGCAGCCAAAGAAAAAGGAAACTCCTTGCCAAAAGGGGCAGGCAAACAAGAAGGAAACTCCTTGCCAAAAGGAGCAAGAAAAGAAAGATGCTCCTGGCCAAAAGGAGCAGAAGGAAAGTGTCCCTCCTGAAGGTTCCAAAGATGGGGTGTCAAAGAAACTTGGCCCTTCAGAGAAGGAACAAGCAAAGGAAAAGGAGCAGAGCAAAGGCTTGACAAAAGCAAAAGATGATTCCTTGCCAAAAGGAAAAAAATCAAGCCAACAGAGCAGTGATGATGGAATGAGTGTGGACTGGGGCAACAGTAGCTCCAGTGCCAGTGCCAGCTCTGGCACACCATCACCTGGCAGCCCTGACCCCTTGACAAAAGGGGATGATGGCAAAAAGGGCTTGCCAAAAAAGCAGCCACCCAAGAGGGTTGCAGTGGACTGGCACAAGGTCCTGGTGCATAACAACCTGTATGACCTCACAGCCACCCCATGGCTGCAGAAGCTCAAGGATGCAGGGTATGAAGTGCACCTGTTGAGCTACTGTGGCTGGAAGAGAAGCCATGAGGTGTATGACTGGGCCTGGTTTGAATGGAATGGCTGGGCCTCTGTCAGCTTCACCTGGAAGCAATGTGGCAAGGAAGGGAAAGCCCAGTGGTGCCTGGACAATGGGGTAAGCAAGCTGGTGGATGACAATGCTGACATTTGTTCTGAAGCCATTCAGTTTGGCACCCAGGCTTACCCCATTGTGCCTGCTGGTCAGAGAAGGAAAAAGGGGCAGCCTAAGCTCCAAAGCTGCTTCTCTGACTTTGCAGCTGCAGCCATTGACATCCTCAAGGAGGAAAACCCTTGACAAAAGGGCAGAGCCAATGGTGGTCCAGGCAGGCTTGGCAAAAGCATCTAAAACCAAAAGGCTTGACAAAAGCCTCCCAAGCCTTGACAAAAGGCAAAAAGACTTCCTTGCTGCAGCACCTTTGACAAAAAGGTTGCACCAATAGAAAAAAACCTTGACAAAAGGACAAGAAACTTGACAAAAGGACAAGAAACCTTGGCAAAAGGTTGTAGCATGTTTCACCCTTGTACAGATTTTGTCTAGGCAGGTCTAAGCAAAGACATGCCCCTAGGTTTTTAAAACCTTGCAGTTGCCACAGCCTCTTGATTTTTTTTTGAAACAGTCTAATGTTGTAAGTAAATAAAATCTCCTACAGCACTTATACATACATAAACATATATATGTATACATACTGGTGTGGTCCACAATGTTTGTTAAGGCCCAAGAGGCTGTGGCACTGCAATGGGAAACCTTGGCAAAAGGTTCATGGATGCTGGCAGGATTGCAGCCAAAAAAAATTGGGCTAAGGGTGTTTGATTGGGAGCCCCTCAAAGGTGTGTAATTTGTTTTCATTTTTGAATGGTTCATCAAATAATAAGTGGGTATAATAACCCTTTTGTCAAGGGACCCATTTGTCATCAAAACATTTTTGGGAACCACCACAATGAATTCAGGTGTACATTGGTTTGGGATCTAGGGAAACACAACATATTTCAGTTTTGGAAACACAGTTTGCCTTGACAAAAGGCATTCAGTTTTCATGTGGTTTCTGAAGTAATCAACAGCACATTGCCTTGACAAAAGGCTCAAATATTGTTTCCAAAAAAAAATCAGAAATATTTTGGATTGGGAAAAAAATGTCAAAAAATATCAAAAAAAATGAAAACTGATGAAATCTGATGAAATCTGATGAAAACCTATGTTTTCATCAGATTTCATCAGATTTCATCAGTTTTCATTTTTTGATATTTTTTGAAATATTTTTGAAATATTTTTTAAATAGTGGTTTCATTGTTTGGAAAATGTTGTAGTTGTTGGTCCAACCCAACTAGTCCAATATATGTTTTTATTTTTAACATATATGTTCAATCCAAACAGTCCAATATATATATATATTTATTTTCAACACATTATTTACTTTAGTTTGCATTTACTAGGCCCCATAGCATGCAATGTTTGTGATGGTGCATCAGGTTTGCCAAACCTCAGCCATTTTGTTTCTCAAGCAATTCAAAAGTGTATTAGTGCACCTTCTCCCTTGGCCAAAGGGAAATGGGCAAAGGTGGAAAAGGAAACCAAAAGAGCAAAGCCTTGGCAAAAGGCAAATTTGCAATGAAAACCTTGCCAAAAGGTAAAGCCAAGGCCAAAGCTAAAACTAAAACCAGGGCAGGTTCTAGCAAGGACACACCCTTGACAAAAGGAAAGCAGAAAAATGCTTTGAACAAAAAAGCATTGGATGACCTGGGGGAGCTAAGCCTGAAAGAAAGAATCAAGAAAGCCACAGAAGGAGCTGAGACTGCAGAAGAGGCAGTGCTAGCATTGAAAAAACAATTGACCCCCAAGGAGCAGCAAAGTGCATGGTCCAAAATGAAAACCAAAATGAAAAATGACCCAGCAGAAGCAAAGAAGGTGGAAAACATGTCCAAGAAGGAAATTGGCATCTATGCCACCATGTGCCTCTTGAAGGCTGAGGCTCCCAAGTTCATGGCCTTAAAGCAGGAGTTGAACTCAGGTGTCTCCTTGACAAAAGGAGAAACATGGGAGTCAGAACTTCAGATGCTGCAGAAATTTTCCAGAGAAGAGCTGGAGCTTCACTTGGCCTCTGGTCGAGTGAAGTGGAGAGCAGACCCATGGACAGGGGGATGCTACCAATACCAAGACCAGGGGGACATCAAGAAAACAAGTACTGTCACCCATAGCAATGCATATGCTTGGGGGCAGGAATATGAAGCTGAGAATGAAGAAGCTTGGGACAGCCACTTCACCAAGGACCTCAGCAGCCACCTTCTGGAACTGGAAGGCAAAGGGAAGGGCAAAGCCTTGACAAAAGGAAAGCCAGCCTCAAAGGGAAGGGGCAAAGGCAAAGCCAGAGGACAGCCTCAACTGGCTTTGGAAGATGGTGACCCCAATGAGGATGATGACAATGATGATAAGACAGAGGACCAGGAGTGGTCCACATGCTTGACAAAAGCAAGGAAAGCCAGGGACCTCTTGGTGAGCAGCCAGGCCAATCTGCAGGAGGATATGGCAAAAGCTGCCAGCTGCCAAAGGCTGAGCAAGGGCACCAAGAAGGATGCAGACACACTGCTCAGCAAAGCCCAAGCAATGGAGAAGAAGTGCAAAGACCTCTTGCTCAAGGGGAAGAAAGCTCTTAGCTTGACAAAAGCTAAAGGTCTGATCCAGGATGCCACCACACTGAGCAAGGAGCTGAAGGATCAGAAGAAGGAGATCTCAGTTGTGGCAAACAAAGCCTACTCCAAGGCAGGAACAGCCAAGTGATCCTCGGCAAAGTTGCATTACCTTTGACAAAAAGGTCCCAGCAGCCTTGGCAAAAGGCTCCCTTGGTGCACATGTTTTTGAACAGCTGCAAGGCAGACCCAGCTGTGTGTTAAAAAAAATGCTGCAGCTTACAGCCAGGATGTAAAGTAATAACCCCAAAAAACCCTCAAGAGGAATGGTGTTGTTTTTGTGTTTTTTGGGTTCTTAAAGGGTTTGTGGTGGTCCAAAGGGTTGATGTATGGGGAATGCTTTCCTAACTAAAATGTAGATATATGTCTGCAGCTTTTTGGCTCAATTTAGTTAGGAATCTCTTTCCCTTGGCAAAAGGCAAAACCATTAGCAAGAAGCTAGTGGTCCTTGACAAAAGGAGGTCCTTGTCAAAAGAACATAGAAAACCCTTGACAAGAGGGTGCTTCAAATCATGGACCTCCCCAAGGCTAAAAGATTGAGAGGTCACCAGTTGGAGCTTGAGAAAAGGAAGGGCAAGCCCTTGACAAAAGGTGCACAGGCTGAGAAAAGTGGCTTGGTCACCAAGCTCTTGAGCCTGTGGGCCCATGGGCAGTTGTCTGCCACCCTTTGCCAGCAGCTTGCCCACCTGGCTGTCTTGGATGGAGCCCACCATGAGGAATTGATACAGATGGCATCTGCTGGCAACTGGGGCGAGGCCAGTGGCAACTGCCACAGAGACTTCATGTCAACACATTGCAAGGGCAATGCATTGACCAAAGCCTATGAAGTAGATGTGCAGGTCAGGGACCCAAAGACTTCAAAGGTGGGAGTTGAAACTGCTTCGCTGTACTTGCCACATCTGCTTTTTGCAGACCTTGCTACATCCTACTCAGAGCAGTTTGAGAAAATCTTTAAATGCTCTGAGCTGGCAGCATTCTGGAAAAATGTGGAAGCAGTCAAGGATGAGAGGCTGCAAGGCCACCCCATCTGCCTTGACAAAAGGCAAGGCCTTGCCAAAAGGCATGTGGTGAATGCTGAAAGAACAGTGCCACTGTTCATTCATGCAGATGGTGTGGAGTTCCAGACCAGGGACACTATCATGTGCTGGAACTGGGGAGGGTTGCTTTCACAGTTCAGCAGCCTCCAAAGCCACATGCTGATCTGTGCCTTTCCAAAGTCTTGCACCATGGAGTCGACCTGGACACCCATCATGAAGTACATCAAATGGTCACTGGAAAGTTTGCAAGATGGCTTTCACCCCTGTGTTGGGCCAGACAATGAGCCCTTGCCAAAAGGGTCTATGTTTGAAAAACTGGCTGGAACACCACTCACTCCTCAAGGCTTCAGAGGTGTGGTGTGGTCCATCCAAGGGGACCATGAGATGTACAGCCTGGTGCTGGGCCTCCCTCATTGGAACAGCAAGTTTCCCTGCTGGGAGTGTGACTGCCAGCAACCCTTGACAAAAGGGGTGCCATGCCCTGAAGGAAAATCTTTTAAGTTGCTGAAGGAAGAAGAGCAGGCCTTTGAATGCTTGAGCCATGCAGAAGCCTTGACAAAAGGCATGGAACAGCACCCTCTGTTCCAAATTGAAGGCTTGAGCACCAAGATGGTGAGGCATGATGGCCTCCATGTCTTGTTTGCAAAGGGTGTCTGCTCACACCTTTGTGGCAGCATCTTACATTTCTTGTGTTACCTCGATGGAAAAGGAAAGCAATCCATCAGACCAAGTGACAGGCTAGCACTTATATTTTCCCAAGTCCAGGACCAATACAAAAAGCAAAAAAGACCCACAAGGCTCACAAACCTAAAGCTTTCCATGGTTTGTGATGTGAAGAGTCCACACAAGGAATACCCAAAGCTGGACTGCAAAGCAGCAGAGTGCAAGCATTTCATGCCTGCTCTTCTGCCTGTGATCAAAGCCATGCTTGATTCAACAGATGAGGTGCACCAACATATGGTGCATGCTCTGTCAAGCATGGTTGATTTGATCCAGCTTTTTGATGATGCTGGGATGTTCCTTGACAAAAGGACATATGGCCAGGCCAGGAAGCTAGCCAGGCAATTCTTTTCCAGCTACTCCTGGCTGAATGAGTGGGCAGAAGAAGCTGACAGATATTTGTTCCACATCACCATGAAGTTTCACACCTGTGGTCACATGGTCAAGAGCTCCTGTGATATCAACCCCAGGTGTTGCTGGAACTTTAGGTCAGAAGATTTTGTGGGCAGGATGAGCACTTTGGGATCCAGTGTGGTGCATGGAGTCAAGTCTACAAGGCTGTGCTCCAAAATCAATGACAAATACCAAGTGCTCCTGCACCTCCAGCTCGACAGGCTGGGGTTTGACAATGCGCATTGGGAGCCAAGCATGGAAATACCTTGACAAAAGGGTTTATCCTTGCCCACCCTGCTCACAAAATCTTTCCTTGGCAAAAGGGTCAGCTCCTTGTCTACCAGGCACACCTTGACCAAAGGATCCTGGCATCTCCCTTTGACAAAAAGGAATTTCCTTGTGGGAACTCCCTTGGCAAAAGGGTTTTGGTCAACAAGAAGCCTTGGCAAGAGGCTAGCCTTGACACAAGGCTTGCAGAGCTTCCTTTACAAAACAACATAGGTGCACCTTGACAAAAGGTGTGTGCCTTAAGCCCACAAGTGGCTCTTCTGTGGGACAAAAAAGGGTGGTTTCCTGGGTGGTTTCCTGTCGATTTTTTTCCTAGAAATATTGATTTTCATATTGATTTTCTTGTTGATTTTCCTGTTGATTTTTCTGTTGCTTTTTTTGTTGAAATATTGATTTTAAAAATCAATATTCTGTTGATTTGAAAACCCTATGAAATCAATATTTTCTGTTGATTTTTTCAAGGAATCAATAAGCTCAAAAACTTATTGATTAGGATCAATATCCGATGGACAGGGTATTCTACGTTCTGGGTATCTCATTTTGGAAACTTTGGCGATATTCTAAGTTTCGGCCCGTCGCTATAATATTTACATATATTTACAATAATTAACAATATTTATAATATATATATATATATTATATCAAAGGAGTGCTGCCAGAGGATCATTATCCAACACAGTTGAGCAGCTTTTAATGCTGTACTTGGCACCCAGAAGACTGAGATGCCGGACGAGGGAGAAACTGCATGCATGTGGTGGATTGCAATTGGAAGAAGTGCCCGAGCTGTCTGAGGAACCACAGCCCAGAGGTCTTCTTGTTGTGGTCCAGGCACGAGATGAGCTGGCAGCTAGCGGACAGTCTCTCTATCAGATCTCATCAGCATGTCATCTGTCTTCTCGTTTCTTCTCTTCTGTTGCTGTTGCTGTTGCTGTTGTTGTTGTTGTTGGTGGTGGTGGTGGTGTTGTTGGTGGTGGTTGTGGTGGTGGTGGTGGACTGGTGGACTGGTGGACTGGTTGACTTTTTGTACACAGTTTGTGCTACAGCTTCACCTTGGCCAGGATATTACGGAGAGAGTGCTGCCAGAATTGCAAACTCTGCATCCAGCGGAGGTGGAGCTCGGGCGCAATCTGCAAAATGCCATGGGTAAGTTTTCGGGTTGCTTTCAGATGCTTTCAGTCATTTTTTCAGGTCTGAAGTCTGAAGAGACGATTTCATCGCGTCTTTCATCACGACCACGCTGGAGAAAGCAACTCTGATTCTGCACAGTGTCAGTCCTGCTTGCTTCTAGGCAGAGGCTGCAGTGAAGGAAATGCAAATGCTCATAGCAGAGTGCTTAGACTGGCTCACAGCTAGCAGCTTGCGAAGGTGAAACATTCACAGTCAACTTTGAAGTTGTGGTGCCAAGATGTGCAAAGCCGATTTGCACCGATTTGCATCATTGTGCTATACTGACCGAGGATGACGCCTTTGTTCCTATTTGGGGCGCCGACCGAGATTGGAAAATTACTGCCAGGAACCCAGGCGGATTGGATTCGGGAGCTTGGGCCAGAGAACAGTGATCCCAAGGGATGTTCAGACATGTTCAGGCGTTTCTCGGGCATTTCAGATGATCTGAGTCTTGCTATCCAAGGTGTGGAGCCCAAAGGCAGGAATAGCAGTCCCATCGCAGCAAAATGCAGTCAGGCATTTACAGTTGCGGCTCTTATAATATTAATAGAATTGTTCTTCTACTTGTGAGATCTTACTACCCGATACGGTTTCTCTCTTTTTCAGTAGTTTCTACAGTGGCATGTACAGTAAGCCTTTCTTAGCGATGCATCATAAGTTGTATTGTCTCAGCATGGTTCATTGCTAAGCTGCGGTGGTGATCGGGCCTGTCAGCATCAATAGACTTGGCATTTTGGCTACGTACTTTGTTTTGAAATGCCTCGCCAGCAGGGGCGCAACTAGAAGCACCAAGATGTATTAAACGCCAGGTTGAATCAGGTTGAAGCAGAAGTAGTCACTAATGGAATTCGACACGTGCTATATGCAACGGGCGGAAACAAACAACAGCGCTCCGCTCCAGGCTGACGGTATATGCACGCCATCACGCTATATATTTTATATATACATTGAGGCCGCTATGCGGGTATCACTTTTCCACCCGCAGACGAAGACGAATTCCGAAGACGAATTGCGAAGACGGATTCCCCGAAAACGAATTGCTCCCCGAAGGCGCAATTCCGAAGACGAATTCCCCGAAGACGAATTGCGTCCCGAAGACGAATTTCCCCCTGAAGAAGACTTGCGAAGACGAGTTTCCCAATAGATCAGGTTAGACAATTTTCTGCCTAATTGTTAATTCCTTGTCTTAGACAAAAAATAACTATTACCAGCACCCTCTAAGTACCCACCATTAGTGGCCTGTTAGCATAGGTCACCAATTAGCGTCACTTTTTCTTTTGCTCATTGATGGGCTGGATTATGAAATCCCCACACAGGATGTCATCCGTTTCCCTGCTGCCAGAGTATACCGAGATTGGGAACACACACATGCCAATCTTAGAAACCACCAGACCCTGAATGTGAATTGTAAAGCACCACCTACACAAACGGAAAATGTAGGCACTTGTTGCGTGCCATCGCGTGTCATTCCCGTGTCGGTGACCCCCCTAAGGTGATGCCTCTTGGTGGGTACTTGGAAAGGTGTCGTGGGAAGTACCCACCAATTATGGGTACTTAGAAACGTGTCATGGGAAGTGCCCACCAATTATGGGTACCTAGAAACGTGTCACTGGAGCTTCATGAGGTGTTATTGCGTGTCAATACGTGTCGATTTTGACCATCTAATTTGATGTGAATTTCGCAAAAAATGAGCAAACACAACTGATCATCCCAGGGTATATTGGGGTGAGACCTGGGCGGTACCCTCAAGGGATATGGTTTGATTGCTTGATGTGATGAACCCTATGTTATCCTATATTGTTATGATGTGTTTTTATGCCATCATTGACAAGTATTGCTAAGTACCCTCCAATTAGCGTCACTTAGGGGATCCAAATTTATGAACTTAATTAAAGCCACTTTTGCGGGCTCTGGCAGTTATTTGTTTTTAAACTATTTAGTTTTTTACTAGTTTTATAACTGTTTTGAACCTATTTTAAAATTATTTTTAACTATTTTTTTGCACTCTTTAACTATTTTTATTAGTGTTTTTAAATAATTTTCCTTTTTTTCATTGTTATGTTTTTCCTCTTTGGTCACTATTTCTCATTACTTTTCCCTTTTCTTGATTGTACAAGACTACTTTGTATCAAAAGCAAAAACTAAAGCAACAACACAAGATTGCAACCACAGTAAAACCATATGAAAGCCACAGTAATCCTATGAGCATGAAAGTATATAATCCTATGTGGCCAGCAGTAATCCTATTCTAGAAAGTAATCCTTTATGTGTTTCAAGCAGTAACCCTATGGCAAGCATGTCTGCCCTCCCACCCACAGCTGCACTGTCACTGGCAGAAAGATTGCTTCCTTTTTTAACCTTCTGCAATTGAAAATGCATCCCATAGCCCCAGTGCTGCATCATTTTGGCGCAGCAATCCTGTGGGGCAAGTCCCTTGACACAGTTGCTTCCAAGAAGCTTAAGAACACCCATATTTGATTCTACTCTAAAGTTCCAGATAAGCCTTGGGCTCACCTGGTGGCTGCGCAAAGTCAAATGGATGACATCATGAGTTTTCAAAGTGATGTTAAACAATTGCACTTCCTCACCTCCAAAGTGGTCATAAAGCAACTGCTGCAGATGGCACATGCAGCAGCAAGCATCCAAGAGCTCTTTGGCTGCATTGGCTGGCAAAGCCATTTCATGCTTGTGCTCATCTAACAAATCCTCAATTTTGGAATTCATCTTGAGGAGTGCCAAAACTTGCCTATGGACAGCAATGTGCTTGTTGTAGTGCTTTGACCACAAGTGCAACATCACTTTGTGAAGGTGATGGTCCTCTGCTGCCTTCCCTCTTAATTTTGGAGGTCCGGTTTTCCTGACAAACATGGTCAATCTATTAAAAACATGATATCTGTGGGGTACACCCAACAAGTTGTACAGACTTTTAATTTCTTCCCAAATTGCCAAGAGGTTGCTGATTGGTGAAGAAGGAAGCAACACAAACACCAATAGATTTCATACACTTCCATATACATACTGATCATTCACTAAATATTTCACATGCATCTAATCTAGCACCGAGCAACCAGCGACCCCCGTGGCTTGGAACAGTGGGCAAATTGATTTGCCATCCCAAGCCAGCCACTCTTGTGGCTTCCACTCCATGTCTGACACATGCTGCCAGCTGGAAAACTTTTTCCAAGTCAAGGGGCCTTCAGCCTTGCACTTGCACACTGGGCAGCCTCCAGCTTTGAGATTCCAACGAGGAAGGTCCAGGAAGGCAGAGAAGAAGTCAAGATGATGCCCCTGGACACTGACCAAGCAGGCTTTGAACTCACATAGTGATAGTGGTGCTCCAGCTCTTTGGTAATCTTCTGTGCCAGCCTTAAACCTGAGAGCAGTGGGGGCACTGGCTGAGCAAAAAGTATGAGATGTCCTTTCTCTTCACCATGAATTTCCAAGACTTCAGCAAAATAGATAAGCTTGCACATGTGTTTAACCCAGGTATCAAAGCTCCATTTCAGCACTTGGAAGAAAGTGTTCGAAGTGGATTCTGGTCCATTATCAAGAAGTTGCTCAAAGACCTGAAGAAACATGCTTGCGCAAAGGTTTCAACCTTTTGAAAAATGCAAAAAAAGCCTTTAGCACCAAAGCTCCAAGCCCATATGGCTAAAAGTATAAGCCTAGAGCCAACACAATTTGGTTGACAAGATACTCTTCCAGGTTTTGGTAGCTACATTCAGCACTGTGCTAGCATCATAGAGCCATATGTGTGGCTTCATTGCCACACCAATGGCAAGCCAGGCTGAATGGCTGTGAGCCACAATGTATGGCTAGAAATGTTTATTAGCCAAACAACCATAGCTACAAAACTCAAGCCATATTTTTCTTGGCTGTTAGCCAGCAATGATGGCTTGGAGCCAATAAATAAGCATGGCTGTTGGACAAACAATATATTAGCCTAGCTTCTGTGGCTCACATGTCTTACACATTTTGCCTGATGTCAATGCATGCACCATGTACATTGCCCTTCACCTAGCTGTCCAACGCACAGATGACAAGTT